CAGAGAAGGTTTTTTCTGCCAAGGGCCATTTGGATGCATTTATATATACCATCGTTAATGGACCTTACAGAGTTACTCCAGAGGCCTCATAAGGCTGTCTGGACAGATGTTGCCTATCCCTATCTTATATGGATGGGTCTTTTTCTGTCTACTTGTAAGGATAACGTTAGGTGGTAACTTGTGTGTGTGTGTGTGTGTGTGTGTCTGTTTGAACGCTTATGGGTTAAAGATAAATAATTTGACAATTTCAGGCAAAGGTATCAGACTAAAACCATAGCTGCTAGGAAATACTTCCACCTGACCAAACCCATCTAGGGCTGTTCTTTTTTGTTTTTGCTTTTGTTTTTTAAAGATTTATTTTATTTTTATTGCAAAGTCAGATATACAGAAAGGAGGAGAGACAGAAAGATCTTTCATCTGATGATTCACTCCCCAAATGCCTGCAACGGCCAGTGCTGTGCTAATCTAAAGCTAGGAGCCAGGAGCCTCTTCTAGGTCTCCCATGTGGGTACAGGATCCCAAGGCTTTGGCCCGTCCTGGAATGCTTTCTCAGGCCACAAGCAGGGAGCTGGATGGGAAGTGGGGCTGCCAGGATTAGAACCTGCGCCAATATGCGATCGCAGCATGTTCAAGGCTAGGACTTCAGCTGCTAGGCCACCACACCAGGCCCTAGGGCTGCTCTTGGTTGTATGATCCAGGGGGTGCCAATCATGGCTCAGTTTTTTCTGTATGTTGGTTCCTCTGGAATAGCTTGAATTTGTTTGGGAACTCAATTTGAATTTAGAAGAAAGCAGATAGTAATCATTTTTGTATTATATCTGCAATGTTGAACATTGAAATAAAAACAATTGTGGCAAACTCAGAATAACCAAACTGTTTTGAATAAAATAGAAAATTTATAGCTAGATATAGATGGACATAATATATAAAAGATGAGGCTTGAATCTTAGCTCTACCACTGGGTAATTTTGGGCAAATCATTATTAATGTCTTTGGTCCTGTTATTGTTCTGTAAGTGGATGTCTTTCATCCCATGCAATGTGATGTGGCCTAGCACACGAAACACACATTAAATGGTGAGCAAAGACCCTTAATTCTGTCCTTGCTTGTAAAGCAGGACACCTGGGACTAGAAAAACAGCAAGAACAAAAACACAGTATGAAAGCGCGGAGTGCATTGAAGGCGGACCAGAATTTTGGTGTTGCTGGAGGAAAAGCTCAAAATGGAGAATGGTTGGAGATGAAGCCATGAGTTCTAGGGTAGGAAAAGGAAGACCGTGTGCCACAGTGCAGCACTGGTACTGCGTCTCCAGGGTGTAGGGACCGAAGGAGGCCTTGGAGCGAGGGGTGTGAGAGCTCAGGTCGTTGTTGGACCCCTGCAGCTGAATCTGAAGGGGTCAGCAGGAGGCAGGGTACCGTGAGCAGACCAAACAGCAGATGTTGGATAGGCGAGGAGATGATGCGAGTCCAGGATGGAGTGGTAGCAGAGGTGAGGAAGATGAGCACATCTGAAATACATTCAAAAAGTAGCACTTGATGTGTGAGCAAGGGATTTGTGGAGGGGTTTCCTAGGTCTCTGGCTAGGTGTGTGAGTAGATAGGTTGGTAAACAGAGAACAGGAAGGGAAAGTTCAGTGTGCTGAATATGCAGTGTTTGAGGGATAAACAGGGATCTGTGAGTTCAAAGCTCCAGGGCACAGGAATAAAGCTTTAAGCTGTGTCCTGCCAGGACGCTGGGAAGCATGCCTGTTCAGCAGAAATAAAAGTCCAAGAAGAAAATGCAGGCCCGCCCCCCCCCCCAACCTTCGTCCTAGGAATGAGAAGGCTGAGATAGCATCAGTAAGTCCCAGGGTCATGGTGAGCAGGTGCTGCACCAGATCTTTGATGTTCAGACCCTTGCACTCTTTTTTCCACCTAGGACAATTGATTTCTTCTTTTGAGGAAAAAAAAAAACTTGAAAGGTGAAAGGCAGGTTTTACAGAGAAACAAGGAGAGATAAAGGTGTTTCATCTGCTTTTCCCTCCCCAAATGGCTGCAACAACCGGGGCCGATCTGATCTGAAGCTGGGAGCCAGGAACTTCTTCAAAAGGGTCTCCCATCTGGGTGCAGGGTCCAGGAACTGGGCCATCCTCCAGTGCTTCCCCAGGCCACAAGCAGAGAGCTGGATGGGAAGTGGAACAGCCAGGACACAAAATAGTGCCAAGTACAGTGCTGGCACCACAGGGTGGAGGATTGGCTTGCAGTGCCACTGTGCCAGCCTGACGGTTTCTGGGAACCGGGGCCAACGAGTTTCCAAAGAGAAGAGAGATAAAATAGTATCATATACAATAAAGTGGCCCAAAAGGATTTGGACTGTATTTGGCAAATCAAAAGCAGTTGCAGTGGAGAAGAGGAAACCAGATTGTGGTGGGTTGAAAGATGAGTGGGGAGTGAGAATAAGAAAACCAAGAAGGTAAGGAAAGAGAAGAAAATTGTTTCTTTTGAAACTGTCACAAAATTCCCTTCAGATGGATTGTTTCAAAGCTTTGTCTCTTATTTTAGCTGTGTGTACATAGGGGTTTTTTTCCCCCCCAAATATATACGTATTTATTTGAAGAGAAGAGAGGGAAGGACCTCCCGCCCATGGCTCGCTCCCTAGGTGCCCACAGCAGCTGAGGCTGGGCCAGGCTTGGAGCCAGGTGCCAGCAACGCCTTTGGGTGGCAGAGAGCCAACTGCTTGAGCCTGCTGCCTGCCAGGGTGCTCACTAGGAAGCTGTGCCCAGAGCAGAGCCGGGATTCATGCCCAGGCATGCACACTGCGGCAGCCCATACTACGGGGCGAACCCCATAGCAGTGTTTTTAAATGAAGTGTGAGAATAAAGAAATGACGGCGCAGTCCCCGGGGTCGTGTCTGCTCTGTCTCACGTTTTGCTGAGGGCCAGTTAGTGACTTGCTCTTCCTCGGTCTCCTTCACGTGCAGGTCAGACTGGCGTCACCCTGTCATGTTCCCCTAGCCACGTCAGTGACTGCCCTGTTCTTTCTCACAGGCTTTTCCCGTAATAGAACACTGATATGACGAAGCCTACCTTGACAAAGATTTGTGCATTTATTTGAAAGGCAGAGTGACCAGAGATGGAACCATCTGCTGGTTCATTCCCCCATGTGGTCTTAAGGCAGGAGGAGGCTGGAACCCCATCCGGGACCCTCACATGGATCAGGGGACCAAGCACTTGGGTTGTCTTCGGGTGCTTTTACTGTCACATTGGCAGAGAGCTGGATTGGAAATGGAGCAGTTGGAACTCCGGCTGGTGCTCATTTGGGATGCTGGGGGCCTGCAGACAGAGGCTTAAGATGCAATGCCAGCACCGAGTGAGAATCAGCAATGTCAGAAGAATGAAACCATAGTCATGTGCCTTGCTCGTGGATCACATTCTTTCTGCAATTTAATTTTCAGTCCAACTAAGGCACAATATCAGGCTAAGTTACAAGAAGGAGAAGAAAATGAACATTTATTCAGAAAAAAGTGAGGGAGGTCAGGGCAGGAGCTGGCATGTGGAGAGCAGGGACGTGAAGGCATCCCCACAGCGTGCCTCACGGAAGGAGAGGGGCCGGCGTGAGGTCCCGCACGCAGCGCCCAGGCAGCTGTGGTTGCTACACACGGTGGCACTGCAGCTGGCGCGTCACTCCTAAAAGCACCACTAACTGCAGGTTTGCTTGTACCCACGACCCGCTGAGGTCTGGTCATTCTCCCGGACTCACAGGACTGATGGAGAACTGTCACACTCAGCTCTAGTTTGTAGAGGCAAAGGGCACAGATGAACACAGGCCCTGGTGGAGGACAGGCACTGGGCCTGGTGGTTAGGATGCTCACAGCCCACGTCAGTGTCTGAGTTCAGTCCTGACTCCTGATCCCAGTTTCCTGCTGGTGGCTCAAGTGATGGGAGTTCCTGCCCATCCTTACTCAGGACTGTACAGGGCAGCCTGGGATGGAGTTCCCAGGCCCTGGCTTTTTTTTTTTTTTTTTTTTTTTAAGATTTCAAAACTGCAGCAAAGAAATAGGGTTAAAATTGCGTACAGATTAGATCTTGAAGTAATTGATGGTTTTCAATAGAGATTGCAGTAGAGACTGCCACCAAAGCCACATTATGGTGAATCCCAGGAGTGTTTGGGCACGTGGGAAGGTGGGAGCAAGTTGTGTACTAGACTGCTGTTCTGGAAGTTTGGGGGAAGGTCAGTGGGGGTAGAAATGCAAGGTGAGAGAGTGGGTTGTCACCTACTGACTACACTGGCTTGCCTGTAATACTGGGTTTCCACTTTGCATTGAAGTGTAGGAATTGTGACTTACCAGTGAGAACCAGGCTGGGAGAGGTCACGGTGGATTGGCAGCAGAGTGCCAGCAAGTACAGAGTCCCTGAAAGGGAAAGCGTGGTGGGGAGTGGGTCGGGCATGGCAGTGTGGGGCTCTGCGCTCTGGGTCTGCTGCCTGGCTGGCTTGTGGCACGCGGCACACTTAACTGGAAAGTCAGAGCATGGCCAGGGAGGGGCCAGGGTGGTTTTCTAAGTGTCCATAAAATGTTAGTTACAATTTGATCCTGTATTTACTTTTATTCCCCCCCCACACACACATTAATACATAATCTGCTGGAGACCACTGTATTGATGAACAATGCTTGTAAGACAAGAGCTCAGTTGGGAGTCTTTCCGTTAGAGGGAACCCCATGCCTTCATCGCAGTTCTTGACACAGAAATACGTAGTAAATACTAGTCTTTTAAAAAATGTATTTCAACCTATTTCCAATCAATCTGCAGAGATTGGGGGGGTCATTAATAATTTCTTATTTCTTAATGCTTCAAAACTGTACACTGCTGTCACGTTGAAAGTAAAGTTAAGGTGTGCACTGCTCGTTACTCGATTGAAGTAATATTTTTGTGTTAAGATATTTTTTATTCACTAACCTTAAATACTGTGTTCTTCTTGCTTTATGTTTTATGCATTTTTGTTTTATGTATTTTTTTAACTACAGAAATAAACAGCCACCATGTCGAGCAAAAAGGCCAAGACCAAGACCACCAAGAAGCGCCCTCAGCGCGCCACGTCCAATGTGTTCGCCATGTTTGACCAGTCACAGATCCAGGAGTTCAAAGAGGCCTTCAACATGATCGACCAGAATCGAGATGGCTTCATCGACAAGGAGGACCTGCACGATATGCTTGCCTCGCTGGGTAGACTTGCTCTCTTTAAAAGCGTTTATCTGTTTGTATTGAAACACAGAACTAGAGAAAGAGATCTTCTGTCTGCTAGTTCACTCCCTAAATGGCTGCAGTGGCTGGAGCTGGGCTGGGGTGAAGACAGGGACATCTTCAGCTCTCCCATGTGCTTGCAGCGGCCCAAGGACTTAAGCCAGCATACACTGTGTTGACAGTCCATTAGGAGGGGGCTGGATTGGAAGCGGAGCAGCTGGGACTTGGCAAGTATTGGATGCCAATGCCTCATTGGGTGGTTTTATCCTCTATGCCATAAGCCCTGGCCCCGAGACAATTCTTAAACAACATTTTGAAGATTAATCAATTTTTAGGCAACTGAAAAGATTCCTCTGACGGATGGAAATATTAACATTAAGAATCTAGGAATGTGACACTGTTTAGCTCATAGCTCCAGGTGTTGGTTTTGCTTTGTTTTGAATATGAAATAATAAATTGGGGCCTGGCGTGATATTCTAGTGGCTAAATCCTCGCCTTGCACACCCTGGGAACCATATGGAGCAGTTTGTGTCCCAGCTGCTCCACTTCCCATCCAGCTCCCTGCTTGTGGCCTGGAAGAAAGCAGTCGAGGATGACCGAAGACCTTGGGACCCTGCACCTGCGTGGGAGATCTGGAGGGGGCTCCGGTTTCCTGGCTTCAAATCAGTTCAGCTCCGGCCATTGTGGCCACTTAGGGAATGAACAACGGGCAGAAGATCTCTCTTGTTGTATCTTTCCTTCTCTCTCTATTTCTGCCTTTCCAATAAAAATAAATAAATCCTTTAAAAACAAGAAAAGAAAAAGAAATAGTGAAGAGGAATTAGACATGCATCTTCGGTGATCATCAAAATTTTAAGTTGGCAAAAGTTTTTAAAATGCTCTTAGTAAAAGTTAATTGAAAAATTTATTTCAAATGGTGATGGAGCTTCTAAATGTATGTTGGGGAGCAGGACAATAGCAAAATAATTGTTTCTTGAGGTCAGTTCTTTCTCCTTAAATGTGAAACTCTGCGCTCCTCTAGGGAAGAACCCCACCGACGCCTACCTGGATGCCATGATGAACGAGGCGCCGGGCCCCATCAACTTCACCATGTTCCTCACCATGTTTGGGGAGAAGCTGAACGGCACAGACCCCGAGGACGTCATCCGCAACGCCTTCGCCTGCTTCGATGAAGAAGCCACAGGTCAGTGCCGCTGGGTTTGGCCCAGCTTCGTTACAGAGAACTTTATAGGAAATTTGGGGGTTTTTTAAATGCGTTTGAAAGGCAGAGTTATGTAGAGAGGGAGACAGAGACCTTCTAACCCCTGCGTCTTCCCAGATGGCCTCAACAGCCAGGGCTGAGACAGGCCCAAGCCAGGAGCTTCTTCCAGGTCTCCCACGTGGGTAGCAAGGCCTGATGTGAGCTGACTTTGGGGACCTGGACTGGAAGTGGAGCTAGGATGTGAACTGTCATGTGAATGGGAGGTTACCATTGCAGGGATGGCTTTACCCACCAGGCCACAGTGCCAGCCCCATAGGTAATTCAAAAGAAAATAGTGAAATAGTGCAAAGTGAGACAGGCTGTGAGCAAGAATGGCTAGGACACAATAGGGACGTCCTGCAGCTCCATTCTGTGTTATTCCTATTTTTATTTGCTCATCTGAGTTCAGACTGGATCATTTGAGCACCAGGAAGTGTGCATGACTCCCTTCTTCCTGTGCTTCAGGCACCATTCAGGAGGATTACCTGCGAGAGCTGCTGACAACCATGGGAGACCGGTTTACAGACGAGGAAGTGGACGAGCTCTACAGAGAAGCTCCTATCGACAAGAAGGGCAATTTCAATTACATCGAGTTCACGCGCATCCTGAAACACGGGGCCAAGGACAAGGACGACTGAGAGCTTCAGTCCACATCTTCTCTTCCACTCTGATACTCCCCTCACCCTCATAGAGCCTGTTGCATGCAACTTAGTTTCACAGCTTTGCCCCCTTTTTGATGTATTTATTCCAGACCTTTCTGCCACTTATTAGCACATGTATAATCAGACTGGAAATGGGGACAAGGCTGTAAATTGTATCAAAAAAGAGATTGCGAATAAAAATCGGCAAATGTGAAAGCCCAGGAAATATATCCGTATTTCTGGTTTTGCTGGATTTTTACCTTTTTACATAATAAAAATGCTATTTTGAAATAAAGACGATGCTGACTCAAATGAAATATAACGGCAAGTGAACTACGCGGTAGTAGGGGGAAGTCGCTCTCCCGGGCTCCCAGCTTCACGGAGTTGGGATGTCGTGGTGAAGTCAGTTTGTCATGTAAGGCACAGTTTGCCTCAGAACCTTGAGTAACATGTTAGCATCCCTCGCTGCGGGCTAGCTCTGTCTTTGGTGTCCGTACTTACAGAACTCGGATGTTTAAATTCTTAAACCATAGAATGCATCTGGGACAACATTAAAGATTGTATCGGTTTGAACAGAATTCTGAAGGATGGCTGTTGAATGTGGACTGGCAGAGCTTGTCAAGAGTGTCATTTCAACAGGCTCCTCCCAGCAGCCTCAGCGGGCAGGTGGTTGCGAGCCCCCGTGAGGTCTGAGGAATGAGATTGATAATGACCGTTAGAGCCAATCACAATGGCAGGTTGAAAAACAGAAGAAAAAATCTGAGAAACAAGACTGTTGTAGGGGGTGTGGCCTGCAGAGGATGGGCCAGCAGACAAGGCTGCCACGAGTGTATTCAGTAGCTCCACGAGTGAGCAGTAGGAGCAGAAAAATCTGAAAAAATTTTATTTACAAAAATTCCAAATACTATTCAAAACCTATTGCCCATTCTAAAAATGTTCTTGGTGTTTTTATGTTTAATCTTTGTTCTTTATAGCTTGGTATAGTAAGCAAACCTGTGTTCACTTGCTGTCAACTTGGACTTCCTTTTTTTTTTTTTTTTAATTTTATTTTTATCTGAAAGAGAAGGAGAGACAGAGATCTTCCATGTACTGATTCACTCCCCCAGTGGCTGCGACCGCCAGAGCTGAGCTGATCAGAAGGGAGGTGGGTGCAGTGACCTAAGCACTTGGGCTATCCTCCACTGCTTCCCCACGTCATCGGCAGGGAGTTGGGCCAGAAGTGGAGCAGCTGGGACACAAACCTTACTCATATGGGGTGCTGGCACTTTGCTTGAGAGCTGAATCTCCCATCTTCTAGCTCACTCTGCACCTCCCTGCTATGTTTTCAGGCTGCACCAGGGTTGAAGCCAAGAGCCTGGTACTCGGCATGTCTGCCCTGGTGAGTACAATCATCTGGTTCCTGACCTCTCACTGTGGTCGCCATGGGCCCACAGCAGCGGGAAGCTGGAACCAGGAGTCAGAGTGGGCGCTGAACCCACATGGTTGGATGTGGGCTTTTAATCATCTCTAACCCCAGTGATTTAGTACCGTGTTCGGAAGCTCAGGTAGTTTTCAATTTTGTTCCCTAATCCTCATGTCCTTCAGGATATTCCTAGTTTATTCTTGTAGAGCTGAAGTTTAGAAATGCTAAATTTTCTGCTCAAGGCCTCCCAAGTACAAGAATCCACTTAGAAGCTTAAAGTCACTCTGCAGTGTCCCAAAGCTCCACTGTTTAAGGATGGGGAAAAATACAATGAGAGAATCCGGATCATTAAAAACCACCATTTGGGCCCGGCGCGGTGGCGCAAGTGGTTAAAGGTCCTCGCCTCACACGCCCGGGATCCCATATGGGCGCCGGTTCTAATCCCGGCAGCCCCGCTTCCCTTCCAGCTCCCTGCCTGTGGCCTGGGAAAGCAGTCGAGGACGGCCCAAAGCTTTGGGAACCTGCACCCGCGTGGGAGACCCGGAAGAGGCTCCTGGCTTCGGATCGGCATAGTATCGGCCCGTTGCGCTCACTTGGGGAGTGAACCATCGGATGGAAGATCTTCCTCTCTGTCTCTCCTCTCTGTATATCCGCCTTTCCAATGAAAAAATAATAAAAATAAATCTTTAAAAAAAAAAAAACCACCATTTACCAGTCACCTGGTAGTGTCCTGTCAGTGCCTGGAGGGCAGGGGAGACGGACGCTGTCCTCGTGGGGCCGCAGCCTGTAAGCAGTAGCAGGGGAGAGAGCAGAGAGGTGCTGTTAAGCTGGGATCTGCGTGACCAGGAGGCAGAGCTGTCCCCGGAGAGGCTCATGCGTGCGGCTGGCAAAGGACTGTAATTGTGTGGACTTGGTCCAAAAATCACAGGGTTTTAGGCAGGAGAGAAATGGGAGCTGCATTTGAAAACTCCATTGATGCAGTTGCGGTGCAGGGGCCTTGAGCCGTCCCTCATGGTGCGGCACGCAGTACCTGTTTGAGTTCTTCCACTTGGGATCCAGGGGTCCAATGTCCTGTCCGACTAATGTTCTTGGGAGGCAGTACATGACAGCCCCAGGCCTTGGGGTCCTGCTGGCCCCCCGGGGAGACCCTGGTGGAGTTCCTGCCTGCTGGCCTCCTGCTGTCGGGGTCAGAGAAAATTCCCTCACTCTTTCAAGTAAATAAGTAAAAGTTTAAAATTAAAAAGGAGGGCCCGGCGCGGTGGCGCAAGTGGTTAAGGTCCTCACCTTGCACGTCCGGGATCCCATATGGGCGCCGGTTCTAATCCCGGCAGCCCCGCTTCCCTTCCAGCTCCCTGCCTGTGGCCTGGGAAAGCAGTCGAGGACGGCCCAAAGCTTTGAGACCCTGCACCCATGCAGGAGACCCGGAAGAGGCTCCTGGCTTCGGATCAGCATAGTATCGGCCTGTTGCGCTCACTTGGGGAGTGAATCATCGGACGGAAGATCTTCCTCTCTGTCTCTCCTCTCTGTATATCCACCTTTCCAATGAGAAAATAATAAAAATAAATCTTAAAAAAAAAATTAAAAAGGAGAAGCAAGAAGAGATGCTAGGAGGGCATCGCCAGGGAGGGCAGCTTGCATTTGGATAACGGCTGAGGAGATTGTCCAGTGTCTCTCTCTCTCTCTTGATATCCAGGTTTTGAATTATTTTTAATATCTATTTACATGAAGTGGGAAGATGCATGGATGCCCATGCAGACGGAGCATTTGGTAGTACTTCCCGTCCCACCCACCATTCTTTCCTATTTTTTTCTCTGATGTTTACAATAGCATACTTCCATTTCACTTCACAGTCACAGGCCCAACACTGCACGGAGTAAAGATGATCAGTACATGGGGACAGAAAACAATAATTAAAAAAAACCCAAACCTATATTCCCTGGCTGGGAGTATAAACTAAGCTTGTACACAATAATCAAATCCCAGAGTGTCAATCTTACTCCCTTGGGTTACATTTTTTTTTTTTGTATTCTGTGTATTAATTATCACAGACTGGGGAAACATATTTGACTTTTAGAACTGGCTTATTTCACTAAGCATAGCGGCTTCCAGGTCTATCCATTCAGAAGAGGCTTCATTCTTTCTCATGGCTGAGCAGCACTGCGTAGTGTATGTAGACCACGTTCTCTTTAACCTATCATCCACTCATGGCAGATGCCTCTGGTCCGCCTTTCCTCCCTTCCAGCTGTGCCTCTTCGCCAATTGCATTCTTCCAGTGCTTTGAGTAAGACCAGACTCGAAAAATGGCACTAGGGTGAGCTGGGGGAGAAGGCAGATTAAAAACAGACAGCTTCTTGGATTCCCTGTGTTTCCCTGATAATTCACACACAGGGCTGTTGCTTCTGGATGCATACCTGGTAGAATGCAGTGCTGAAAGGCGCAGAGGCCGCCATCACATTCCTCTTCTGTGCTCAATAAACAGCCAAGATCTCACGGACAACCACATCATCTCCTAGGCAGGTAATTAATCCCTTGGCCCGCTCAGTGAGGTCATGTGTGTGTGCAAAATGTACTGAGCACTCACTCTGCTAAGCGTGTTCCCCCACTGCCCTTTGAGGCAGGCAGTTTTACTGTCCCTGGTCTGGAGATAGAAGCGAAGAGGGAGGAGCAGAAAAGCTAATCTTTGAGAACGATCTCTGGTAGCAATGATGGAGACGATAATTATAAAGGCCACTAGGTGGCGCTATTATTCTTCGAACTGTAAAAATCAGAGCGGCAAATCAGACTAGGAAATATTAGCGTGGTTAACGTTGCAACTGTCATAATTGTTTGTGAAAGAGTTGAAAATGCTATGTGGAATTGTTACTGTTCCACGAATCCCACAATTAGGGAGCAATCTAGAACTTTTTGTTTTATATATATATACATATATGTGTGTATATATACATATGTAATACCAATTATTTCACAACACTGGCATTTCCTCTCCCTCCCCACTTCCCTTACTCTGTGCCGCCCTCGATCGCGCTTTCTCTTCCTTCCCTCACTCATTTCCAGATCCTTGCTGAGTGGACAATGCCAGATTTTATCTAAGCTCCAGTTGCTTTAACCCTAAAGTAATGACTTAAAAAAAATAATAAAATATTTGCTATTTGCTTTCACTCATCAGAAAGGCAGAGCAACTGCACTTTTCCATCAGCTGGCTCAGCTGGCAAGCACCTGCCTGGGTTGAGTTCTGACTTGCTGAAGTCGACCCGGAGCTGAGTGCGGCACGATGTGAAAGCTGCGGTTCTCCGCGTGGAGTGTTACAACGCCAGCACCGTTACCTAACAGGCTTGTCTTGCAGACTGGACGATCCAGAAATGTCAGCAGGTTCTGCTGAGGGGAGGGAAACAGGAAAACCCAGGACCAGCCCTGAGAAGCGGGCCTGTGAGTTGAGACTGCCTGATTTGCAAGGCAAATGGAGGCAATGAAATCACTTGGAGGAATTCACAAATGAAAACAACCGAGGTTCTTGCAGGTCTTTGCTGTGCCTATCCAATTGTTGTTTGTGTGGTTTTTGTTGTAGTGCTTTTCCTGTTCACCCCGTGTTCCACATGTCTGTCACTTTCAGTTCTTTGTTTTTCCTGGTAAAATATATCAATATCAAAACAGACCTCAATTTTGAAATGCTTCTGTGGCATGATTTATTTCTTATTTGGAGCTAGGAAATCTAAAGATATTGCCCTACTTTCTTTGCAGCTGGGCTAACTTGGAAATAGGCAGCAAACTGGGTGACCCCTGGATGGCTGGAAAAGACATTGGCCAGCTGCCCAGGGAGATATGGACGTGGCCTTGGGGCTGGGGGTTCAGGGGAGGCTGGATCAGGCCAGAACTCCAGCCTTTGTGTCCCACTGTGTCGCAGTGGGAGATGGCGCA